GCTAAGTAATCTATGAGGTCAATTTATATTACTTGTATCCTCGGTTTCAAAGTAAAGAGAGTCTATTTAAGTGGACTCCAGATTTATTATTGGAGAAAATCGGTTACGTGGCGTCTCTAGATTAAGTGATTTCACTGTCCTGTTGAAATTAAATACATTTTCGACGTTCATTCTCTCAAAACTCCGAAAATAAATTTAAATTTACCTCATTAGCTTGCGATGATGTTTCTCATTACTGTACTAAGAGTAAGCTACGAACAATTGCAATGCCTTGCCCATTACTAATTTATAGCCCATTACTTTGAATACTTTGTCAACCATTCAAGATTATTGGTTATAATTCAGCTCTGGTGTAGTCAGGACCTTTTTAAGCTTCAACTGAGATTATTTCATTTTTACTCATTCCATTAAATCTCTGAATCTCTTTCATAAAATAAGTTAATACGAATACTAATTGTGCTCAAAAAATGTGATTCGAAAAGGACGCTACCTTTTGAGATAGTATGGCTTCCAACCCAAATATGTGATTATTTTGATTACTGACATGAATACCAAAATAACGAGAAAGCGATGTCTTTGAACAATTAAGTACTACTGTATTATTGTAGTCTAATATTTCACACACCGACATGCAGACATACGGCAGCCGGGCAATACGCTTTTGCAGAACTTTTTCACACAAAGCATCGTGGACTTTGTTTTCGACTTTGCTGTTGCTGTCATTGACTGGCTGCCCTTGTCACTTTTTATTACCACAGGCACGTTGGGGACACACAAATCGTGCATTCAAAAACAAAGGATTCAAGCATCAACAAAAAGAAAAAACCTGCCCACACACACACACAAATTCGAAGAAGCATAAAGCTGCACGAACACACAAGTTGCGGTTTTGTGTAATAAGTTAGGATCACTGAACTGCTAACAACCTTTTTCAAACACATTTACATCGCTTCGGTCTGCCATCCTAGATTTGAGTATGAAGCCCTTGTGGGATTTTCAGCTAAATATGCACAAAATATAATTTAAAGAATTTTATTGTTGAAGTTGCAGCAATTTGCGTAAGTTTTGGTCGCAAGCTCACATATATATGTAAGTGTGTGTCTTGAAGAGCCCTCATTTATATGTAGCACACTTTGTATTTGTATATGCAACTGAGTTGAGGCACACTGAGTTGCCATATGTGCGTATATTATTTTTATTTTTATTTGAATTACTTTTTTGTTATTGTTTTCCTTCATTATTTTCTCAAAAAACACTCGTTATAAAGGAAATAACATACGCTGCTGTAAATGGCGCAACGCACAGTGGAAATGACAGAGAGCAGCGACGAAGCGGAGAAACAACTGTATTTGCGACCACCGGCAAAGGTGGGATGGCGAATTGGATACGTATAAGGATATATTTGCCTGTCAGACAAACGTTACGATTGACAACGGAGCATCGAGTGAGAGAGTAACGTAAAATCTAACGGCAAAAATAAAATAAAGAGATAAGTAAGTAGAAAAATAAGCTCACATGAAAGGGAAATGTGAGTAGGAGCAAAGAAAAGGACGAGCGTAAGGTAATAAAGGAATATAATGGCTCTTAACTCAGTTCGCTGCATACCCAAGTATAGCTGGGGAAAAAATGTAAAACACGCTGAAATGAAGTGTGTTGTGTGAGAAGCGGTGCTGAAAGTGAAGTTAAAATGCTTATTGGAATTACGCACATTTAACAGCTGTTGACGATGAAATTCGAATTTTTCGACATCTTTTCATTATAACGCACATGCTCCAAGGCACCTGACTAGATGTACCGGCGCCAGACTCTTTACAGGAGTATTTACTTCCACATATATGATACATGTATGTATGTATATAAGCGTAGAAAAAATTATTTACGCAAGTATTTGAGTATACATACACCCTTGACAGTAATTTATGCGAGTCGCTGTTGAAATATTTGATATATAGGATTCCACTTAGGTAATGGAAATTAAAGAAAAGCCGTTTTTCTTTCTTGGTATTAAGTAGATGGAATTTTCAATGATATATGTGCACTATAACAGCGGATAATTTATTTAATTCCTTTATTAAATTCTACTTTATTGCTTTCTAGTTAGTGAAAAAATAGTTTTATGACATATTATTAACATACTTGCTTAACGACAAGTTCACACCTACAAACGCATAACTCAAATTGCTTTTAGACAGTTCAGACGTGGCGCTCTATAAAATTCTATAACAGCTTGTAACTCTCTCTCTTTCCCTTTCACTTGTCAAAACACCCACAGTTCAGTTACAGCTGGTGCCTGTCTCACATACTTATGTACTTATTTCTATAAACCGCACCTACAGGCGACGCCAAACTCATATTGGCAGTCCAGGGTAGGCTCGTAAATTCTACTGGTTTCTGCTTGCATGAACTAATTAAAAGACCCTGCCAGTGGCGAAAGTTAAGGTGTAAATGGCAAAGTGTTTCGACACTCCAATGAACAACAATGTCTGTGTTTATTAATTTCCTCATATATGCATGTATTTTCACAAGTGTGTGTTTGTTGTACTTCTACCATATACACCAGCCGGTTCCAAAAACCAAGAGTTAACACATATAATTGTAAATTTACATTGTATATACGAGTCTACCCAGCAGTAATTCGCACTGGTTCCTAAGTGAAACTCAAAATCTGCATTGATGCTCTGATAAAGGCGGAAATGCCAAACTTTCTGAAGGAAGCGTCTCTGCAAAAAAGTATACATACTTCTTGATGGCAGCCACCTCTGCTTGATAGACACTTCATCGGATTAGCAACTGGTAACTATAGAGCTCCTAACAACAGACTGCACGTCCCAACTTCCTCCTAAGTTTCTATTCGTCCGTAGAAAGCTTACTACGTTCTTTCTCCAGTTGCAGCTGCTTATCGAGTATAGTCCCCCATCATACATACTATTTAAAACCATATCGACTTAACTATGCTTGCATAGAGCCATATTACTTTTAGTGGTTCTTTCCAATAGTATTTTCTCTATGTCTGGCCGCCACAAAAGTTTCCTATATAGCAGGATCCTTGTGTAACTCCTTTTTCCCACAAGGTGTAGGCGTATGCTTTCCTAAGAGGAGAAAGAGTATCCCGCGACTTTGTATCTTTAACGAATAAACCTAGCTTCGTTTACTTACCATAAAATGCATTGCATATATTTATTGTTGCATTCGATATTGCAGGCCCCTAGCTTTTATAAAAACTGCGAAAGTAATGTGCTTGAGTAGTTTTTTCTCTCTAAGCAAAATCTAACCATCTGTGTACACATCAAAACTAATTCCAAAGCATGAGCCTTTATAACCAATTTATATTTATCTAGCTAATAGAATTATGTAATCCTGCGAGTGCTTTTAAGCGACCTACCTTAACTCACTCGTTTAACACTGCTGTTTTGGTTTGCCGGAGGCCATGCGACAGATGGTGACAAATAGCCGCAACTAAATAACCAAAGCACTGGCAATCACAAACAGGCGCCTATCCAGCAACTTCATTACCAGCAGCACCGCTAATCACTATCAACACAAGAGGTTGCAGTTAGCCAAAGCCGCTTCAAGGCAATGCGAGTGACGCGTGTTGTTGCACTAAGTTAACCTGCAACATAGCCTTAGGCGAATGACACTAAAACAGCAACAATGTTCGGGAATCTACAGATAACTACATACAAGTAGACACGAAATAGCTTATGCAATACGGTGGCTAGCGTAAACCTCCTATGACGTTAGTCTGTTGGCAACATTGACAAAGCTGAATGAACTCAATTGTCAAGTGGCCACCACAAATGTCAACTGCGCACTTTGAGGCGAAAGACGACAAAATATGCCATCATGCCGGAGAACACGCATGTATGCGCATATTGCTGCACGACAATAACGGACTTGACTTGCCGCTTGTACTCTTCCGCATCCTTTCGTGGCACAAATGCAATTTTCGGCATGCCTTGCACGAATACGACAACAGTGGCCAATTAATTTTGCTCAACACTCAGCCGTACAACTCACACACACATACACTACACATCCGCTCTTGCAGCGCATGCCACACCGCTCAACTCAGTAGATGTGGCATGCATCATTCTTCCACAGACACTTGTGCGCATAAGTGAGTTAGCGCATGATAGCGTTGAGACGTGATGAAATCGCGTGCGTGATTGAAATTCACCGCCCCACCGCTGCATCACACTTTCGAGCGCACAACTATTTGCTCAACGCATTCTTCTAGTTCTCTTCTTATTTTTCTGCTTTATCTGGCATTTTTTCTCATTTATTATGGCAGCTTTTGTTACTCGCTTGAAGAATATTGCAGTTAAATACGAACAGCGGCAACTGCCAATGAGTCGGTGTGTATGTATATGTGTGCGCAACCAACATAACGTTCTTAAACGTGCATTGTTAATGGCGCACGTCTCGACTTGCACTCCTTCGCATAATAGCGCCTTAAGGAGAAAGTCTTTGAAAGTCAACGAAGGTTACTTGCAATATTGTCACTGTCTACACACTTATGTGTGTGTGTGTGTTTGCATGCAAGTGTAACAGTTTCCTATTGCTTGCCCTCTTTAGTACTCGTGATCACATACAATAAAGCGGGCGATTTTTTATTTGATGCATTTGGTGCAGCGCCAGAAACAATGTTACCGTTGAGCGCCTCTCCACCAAATCGCGCAGCCACTCACCGTCAATTTCGTTAACCCAAACGCTTTTGTGTTACTCTGTGTGAATTTCAGTAAAATACTACTGATATACGGCGCTTATTTGTGCTGTTATTCTTGCCGTAACAACATTACCGTTTTTAATGGAATTTTCAAATATCTAAGTGTCTTGCAATTTACATATATAAGAAGAAGTGGTAGACACACACACTGCGCACAATTATTGTTTATTATGATTAACAACAAAGGTGCCTCAGTATAACAATGTTATTTTTAAATTTCTTCTTTTGAGTCGTATAATTGCGAAGTATTGGCAGGTTTGTTCTTTTTCATATTTATTGAAATATTTATGATGCGTGTAAATTTAATGTTTACATGCTTATTGCTCTATCGTATAAGAAAATCAGTTAATTTTTTCTAGAGCATTAATTAATTTTAAAAAAAATTAAATTGTTACAATTTTAACACAAAAAATATTCCAGAGTTATACTATAATATTTTATTGTAATATATAAATACAATAATAAATAATAATATTTTTTTTTAATTTTGTGGTAAGCAGCACTTAAAAATATAAATATAATTACGCATGGTATAATATAATTTCATACTTTCATATTTTCTTAGCAGTGACTCAATTCTTGAAGCATTTAATTATTATAAACATAATATTAGAAAATGATTTTTTATTGCAGTACTTGGATCAAAGAGTTTTCAATAGTTCAAGAATTATTATTTTTATAAGAAAACTGTACAAATAAATTATTTTAAAATAATTTATTATTTATTATATAATATATATTTTTATATAAAATATTGAATTCGCACTAATTAAATTTGTTAATATTAAACTGATTGATTGACTCCACTAATTGCAATTCATTTTTTGTCTCATTACAGGTAAGGATATGCGATATTTTACTTTATTGATGTTTAGGGATAACCAAAGGTAATTGTTTTCACGAAAGCTGTTTTCCGCGAATCAAAGATAATAATAATTTAAACTAGGCAAATTTAAATCAAATATTATTTCAGGCTGTTTACCAATGCAATTTCATTGAAGTTTTGAGAATTAGAGCACATTTCTTATTTTCTGAACAGTTAGTATTGAATTTGTGCAATCACTCGTAAACACAATAAACCCAATTTATATCTTCCTCAAACTTAATTGCAATTTTAGCATTTCACTCCTGGAAACTCCTCCTTTTTTTAAAGACAAAATTCCTAACATATCCATATACATAAATCGTCACTTAAATATGAAAATAAAATTATTTGCTTATTAACTTCATATTTGGTTTGTTTCTCTTAGTATGTGTGTGTATTTAGCACACTTAATTGAATTTTGACAAATAATGAAATCAAGACCTTCGTATAAGCTATTTTATCAAAAAACAGTTACCCTCCCTTATTTGTCAGCGTTGGCTTAATGATAAAATCAAAACTGCGTAAAATTAAGTTTATCAACGCCAACAGCCAAAAAATAACAAAAAAACAAAATAAATGAAAAACAAAAACATTTTACCCTCGAAATCTTCGCTCATTATTTCGCCTGTCACTTCGATTCCAGCAACGCAGCTGGGTCCATTTCTTTGTCGATGTCTGCCGTACGAGCAGTGCCACCAAAATTATACTCACCGATTTAATTAACAATCTGACAACGGTGCGTCTGTAACTGTTAAAAGATGGTGCATTAAAGCAAAATTAAATCTTATTATAAACTTTATTAAAAGAAATAAAAGTTTGCGCTCCACTCACGCTATGGCGGTGTTGTCGCGGCCCATGGCCGCAGGTGTGGTGATGTCAAAAACAATGCCTTCATACGGATTCAACTGGAATGTGGCGTTGTGACTCAACTGAATGCTACGAGATGATTAAGAGCAAAAGACATTTTTTCTAACTTAATATATTTAATTGAAGTATTTTGTGTGCGGTCTTTCAGTTAATTGCGTTTAACGTCTGCCACCTAGGCGGGTGTGAAGCGTTTATAGACGTCTTTGACATGCTTGTGTATTGAATTTGCTCATACGGAGCAGATTGTATATGTATAAATGCCACAACGAAATTCTTGTGAATATTATAAAATATTTAAAAAAAATCATAAATAAGCGTTAGTGTTTTGAATTAGTCATTAAAGCTGCCATCATCTTTCTAATAGTGATATAAAAGTATCTAAATCCCACTAAACACTACAGTCTTATATTACATACTATATGTATGTACATATATATATTTGTAGATGTGGTATTTCGTCTTATTGCTATTATTATACCCTGAACAGGCTATATTAAGTATGCCATGAAGTTTGTAACACCCAGAAAGAAACGTAGGAGACGCTATAAAATATATACTGAGCTGAGTTGATTTAGCCATGTCCATTTGGCACACGTTCTTATATATGTCAGTAAGCCGATATCGAACCAGTATAGCATACAGCTGTAATATAACTGAACGATCGGAATCATGTGCTTGCGTGGAAAACTTTTTTATTTCACGAGATATTTTCCTTAAAGTTGGCATGCATTATTATCTAAGGCAATAATGCAATATCCGAAAAGATTGTTTAGATCGAATCACTATAGCATATATATAAAATCAAGTTCTTGTCAAGTATCTTTTGTATTTGTGAAGGGTATTATAGCTTTGGTGCTACCGAAGTTGACGTTACTAGTTTTTTATTATTGTACAATCCATTTAACAATAACTTATTCGCATGAAACACGACTCACAGTCATACCAGTTTTTATTATAGAACATAAATGATTAATTGAAGTGTAATTTTTCAGATTGACTATATTCATTTTACTTTTATATCTTTAATTAGTGCCACTGCTTTTACATTTAAAAAATATTTGATGGATTCATGAATATTTAAGTTACAACTAAATATATACTTGTATGTAAGCAATGATGGGTTCAAAATAAAAATCATGAGGTCATTTAAAAGCGTCAACTTTCAAAAAAGTATTTAATACAAAATTAAGATATAATGATTAGTTATTGGTTTTTACAGTTTTCAAAATATTATTAATAACATAAATGTAAACATGATATTTGAATGACTAAATGATAAAATTATTCCTAATCTAGAGACTAATTGAAACCTGCTTGAAGTCTTTAACATTTGTAAAAGCACTTCGGCTTTCTTTTTTACATGCTTAGGTTGCATAGCGTAGCCCAAAAAATATGGCAATAATTCTGAAGCTTTGTAAACCCAATTATTTAAAAGCCCTACTAAAAATTTCATTAATCTCTTGCGAAGCATTGCTTCTTTTAAATCCCTTGCTACTATTAGAACATGCAATATTATGACAGACTAACACTGCCTGAAGTACTTAATACGACTTCAGATTTAAACGCGGTCACCGTGCAGCAAACGCAGGAGCTACACAGACTCTAGCGTAGCAATCAATTAGAGTGTCACTTTTCGGCGCAAATAAATCTAGAATCCAGCCAGTTAAAATAAAAGCAATTTGCAAATCATTGCCGTAGACATTACGGAGACGCAGGCAAAGCGCACTGACGCGCCTGACGTTGTTGTTATGGCATTCGATGCACATTTGTTTGCGAGTATAAATTTTTGACACTTTCGGTCATTTGTTATGCCTGTAGCATTTTGTTGACTGCCAAGCCTTTCGGCGCAGCCCCACTACATGCATATATGTGTTACGTCATCACAATTAGATTGCAAACAGAAAAGTCTTACACCACTCACTGCGCCGCACCGCCAGTTGCTGTTTCGGTTTAATCGCAACAATTAATTAAGTTTAAGCATTGGCGCTGTAGGCGTTGCCAAGTATGTAAATGTTCAAATTGGCTGCCTCCTAAAAGCTTTCAACGAAAAGCAGACTTATTAAGAAACTTAAATATTTTATGATTTGCTTGCCACAAGACGCATTTCGACGAGCTGCTCGTGCGACAGGTGCAAGTGTATTAAACTACGAGATCGCAAACAATTTGTTAAATTTTATTAGCTTTCTAATTGCTCTGTAATTACCAGTAAACATAATGTTATACAATTAAAACACTTTTTTTAGTTTAGCGAGGTTCTTTTATTCACATAATGTGATATAAAGCTTGTTACATTAATAAAAACCCATTCATAATTAAACTTATAATGGCAAATGTTTAGTGTAAAACAAAAAAAACATTAACAAAGAAAGATCAGCCGTTTTATTCACTCTAGCATGCAAACGAGCCCTTCATAGGGTGCCAATGGCACAGCTTCGGCGGGAAGCGCTTTACTGGAATTGCACAAAGGAGTATGGGTTTGGTTAGTAAAAGCGTAAGCAAATCTCTGAAATGTCGCAACTCACCCAGTTTCATGTGTAGACTTGGAGCCAGCAACCATCACAGTCAACTTCTGTTGGTATTTAAGATCGAAGACTTCGGTCAAATTGACAGCGCGAGCGCGTGGACCAATATTGATGACAGTTATGATAGAGTTGTCGTCTTTGAGCTCCCTGCAGAAATACATATTGGATGCGTTATCAAAGTGATTTTGGGATTAAGCACTTAGAGAAGAAACATGTAAAATATGTATGTAATAATTACCTTTCGAAAGCAAAGACCTCGCGATCCAAAACCTCTGCGTGGAAGCGTCCTTTGACAAGTGCCGGCATCTTACGTAACTCGATTAATGATTTATATACCGAGTAGTGACTCTTCTCAGACTTTTGCTGTTTGAGATTTAAATTTTTGTAGTTTGGATGGACGGGTAGCCATGTCTTTTCGGCAGTAGAGAAGCCTGGCAGCAAAAACAAAATATGTTTGTAACAGGCGGTATATTTTCTCACTCAGCTTTTATTCTTACCGGCATTCTTTTGCGTATTCCATTGATAGGGTGTGCGCTCCGGATCACGAGACACTTGTTTGTACTTTTCACGCCCAACATTGCGCGCAGGCGGATCCACAGTGTCCTCCCAGCTGATATCACGATAATCCTGCATACCAATTTCCTCGCCCTAAAAAGAGAGCAGCAACCAAATTATTTTAAATGTGCTCGTCAAACACTACACGCTCGCGCTTACATTGTAAGTGACCGCTACACCAGGCAGCGTCATCATCAGCATATGCATAGCATCGACACGTTTCGGACCGAAACGGGTGGCCATGCGCATATTATCGTGATTGCCCATGACCCAGTTGGCTGTGTGTTCACGTGGCATATATGTCAACCACTTCTGAATGTTGAACACATAGTCGCGCGCATCGGAATTCTCATCCAAATCGGTAATGAAATTAAAGTTGAATGGGAAATTTGCTCCGCGTTTGCCATCTTTCGTTTCATAGTAGTCCATGAGTGTTTTCAGATCGGCGTATGCCTCGGTCATGAGAATGCGTGTGGGACCACCTTTTTTAGCGGTGTAATCGTCCATTAGTTTACGCCAATGCTGCAACATATCCAGTACTTCCGGCTGTAAGTAAATGTATTTAGATGCATGAACACTTAACATTTGCACTAAATATAGTTTTACATACCATATCTTTGGTATAAATGTGCTTGGTATATTCGTAGGAATTCATATCGTCGGTTTTGCCGGTTAGTGGCTCATCACGTAGCTTTGCGTCTTCGAAGAGATGGTTGACAGCATCGACGCGGAAGCCATTAACACCTTTTTCCAACCAGAAATGTAAGATTTCGTCCATGGCTTCGACCACTTTGGGATTGCGGAAGTTTAGATCTGGCTGAGCTGCCGTAAACTGGTGCAGATAGTATTGACTGCGCTTCTCATTCCATGTCCATGCAGAGCCGTAAAATACAGATTGCTGTCGAGTAATACCACAATTTTATCAGTAATCAAGTTGTTTCGCAATAGAAAACAGTTTCAAAAGAAGTTTCATTGCTGAAGCTGCCCACTTACCCAATTATTTGGCGGCATTCTCATGCCTTTCTTATCCAATTTAGCGTCAGCCCAAATGTAGTAGTCTTCATAACCGTCTTCTTTGTTGACTGACTTCTCAAACCACACACTTTCATTTGAAGTGTGATTCGGCACAAAGTCCATAATAATTTTAATGCCTGAAAAGCATGTGTCAAAATAAACATTTAAAACTGTTCTACCATTAACGTTATCAAATTTAACAGTTACCTAAACGTTCCGATTCCGTTATCAGCATTTCCATATCTTTCATTGTACCGTATTCCGAGTGGATTTCTTTAAAATCAGATATATCATAGCCAAAATCAACCATGGGTGACTTGAAAATGGGACTCAGCCAAACGGCCTGAATACCAGTTTCAGCGAGATAAGGTAGCTTCATGATAATACCTGCAAAAAAGAGATTTAACTGCTGTTAGCCCCATTTCAATTAATCTGCTATTTTACTCACCTTGCAAATCTCCCACACCATCGCCATTGCTGTCCATAAAAGAACGCGGATAGATTTGATAGAGTATCATGTGTTTCCACCAGTCTTTCTCCGTGCTGTCCATTTTGTCGCTCGCTGTAGTCTCCGTACCTGTTTGGGTTTCGGGTTCCTTTGGCATAGACTCATCGTTCATCATCTCTGACATTCGCATGCTGGTTTCCTTTGCCACCGCCATCATCTTCATATCATTTGATTGCATAGGCGCTTTCAATTCCTCATTGGCACTTTCGGTGCTGGACATTTGAGTTGGTGTTATAGCCGCATCTGCCGACATTTGCGCATATTGCAGAAGCAAGCAAAATGTGAAAAACAGCAATAGGGCATTAAGCCCCAAACAATTATAAAACATTATAACGAACACAAATACACGTAAATTCGATTTCGTAGCAAAGAACACAAATTTTTATCACAGCTTTATGTTTGTTCTTATTATAAGAATTATTTTTGGTTAGTTTTTTGTGTGCCTTTGCGCTCGGAAATAAAAATTACTTTAGCAATGTGCAATACGCAACATCGATCCCTATCTCTAAGCACAGTACTCTAGGCTAGAGCCATCTACAGACAGTGAGGCAATCAGCTCAGTACACACCTTTAATAGTGCGTGCCGCAGAGACGATGCTGTTGCTATTCAGCTCATGCCCAAGTGCATCTTGGTCCCACTATAACTGCATAACTGCATCTATATACTTACAGAAAGAATTACCGTTGATCGTGTTCAGCAGCACCGCATTCACTAAAATGACTCTCTCCGCCAATGGCAGCAACAAAACTGCCGATTCAGCGCTGTGCCGCTATATTTAATAAATTCAGCCGTGCTTTCTTTGTTATTGCTAAAATAATATTGGGTTTTTTACGTGGCTCTCCATGCCGCTTGCTCTCATTATTAATGTGCTAAAATTTGCTTTGCGAGAATGCTCAGTAGATAAAGTGTAGTGGTTTTGCTTTGTGTAGTTGTGGCTTTCGACATATAATTTTATTTATTGCATTAACTTTTACAGTTTAAAAATTTATTTTTATATTTATGGCAAATGACAAACAGAAGTTCAGTGACTGATGCAAATTTTTTTTGGCAATTAAATATGATATAATCGACATTATATTTATTGAAAGAGTAACATATCCGTTTTATGATTTTAAAAGCTATTTATAATACACAAATAATATAGAATTCTCTTATCTCTGCGACATTATTGCATAAAAATATAATTTATAATATTTGTCCAGTTTGCAGAACATTTTTTTCAAATGAAACGATTTTTTATTGCACTAAGCTCGCCTGTTTTACTGCGCTGACCAGTTGAAGGAATTACTTCAGTTTTATTTTGGTAAAACTTTGTATACTTCCTGACAAAGCAATATGCACCATATAACTTTTACACTCGGCCATATTTCTAACGCAGTTGTTGCAAGAAGGCCAACAGCTGCAACAAAAGCAGTCAAAGTTATTGCAAGTACATATTTTCAGCGCCCTAAAATCCTGAATTTCTTTATAGTTTCTAAGGGGCTTTTACACTTGAACACCCTGGCAGACATAAGCAAAGCATATACATACATACATATTTACTGTTTAGAAAGTGTAGCGGTATACATATAGCCCGCCAAGTGTGCTCTGTGTAATTAAAATGAGAATTTTCTCACAGCTCATAATTTTGTTATAAACCAGCGCCTCCACCGCCAAGCATCTCTTTCAGTTTTCCGCTTCAACTGCACTACCACAACCACCAATACCCACCAATTCACGATTCCCAACGCATTCGCAAATTAGTGGAGCAGTTCAAGACGTGAGCTGCGGAAAAGGATGCAAACGAACTTTGCTTCTCGCTGCCTGCCGCAAGAATAAAAAGTGAATGAGGAGAATGAAAGCGTCGGAAGAAGCTGCGTCATACCCCAAATGAGGTAACTGCATTTTAAGTAGGCTGGATAGCTTAGGCTGAATAGCAAGTAGTGGTGGCGATGTCGTCGAACCTTAAAGAACGAGGTTAATGTGTGAATTGCCAACGGCAGCGAAAGTGTGTATATTACGGTGAAAGGCGTAAAGGAAGTAAGACGTAGTTGACGCACTTCAAGACTCTGCTTTCCCTGTGCTCTTCGCAAGCCAAAAACCGTTAAGATGGTGACTTTAGCAATCTGCTAATGTTGACTGGAGTAGATGTGTGTATGTAAGTATGTATAAGTGCGACCCCATAACTGGCATAGCAGCAACTCTATTATGCGTTCAACGAATGCACAAGGTGATAGTGTTGAAGGGGGCCTTTAATGAGCTTGTAATAGCCATAAAGTGATAATGATGACTGATGATGATAAAATGGCAATCATTATAGTAATTATGAGCAGCTCGGCTGCCGCTGAAGCGAGCTATAGACCTTAGACCAAGTAGTTTTTGTTGGTAATAGTGTTAGTAAGCGCTTCTTTGGCGAAGATGTTCATGACATGCTGAGGTGCAGGTAGGCGTTTGAATACCTCTTGGAATTATATTTTTATATATTTACACGGTTAGATCAGTAAACATATATATATCCTTCAAAGAGAAAGGCGGACTTAGTTGAGTACGAAAATCTGTGCTTTGCTTCTGTCTATATTCACCCTACTAAAAATGTAGGTCACCAGCAAGTTCCAAAAGCTTTCTTAGTGTCGATCATTCGCTTTTATTTACAAAATTTTCCAATGTAAAACCCTATTCCCGCAATAAACCAAAAGTATAGCACAACCACATATCAAAATACTCGAAGACTTCATTGTAGGAAGATCACAATACATATTGTGTGGTACAATACAAATGCAAAATCAAATAGCCAACTGCGCAAGCAACGTAGATGCACTTATCCAACGCTTACATTGTCTCCACATGTGTTTCACAAATATTGCGCTTAACGCAAGTAACACATGTTTTGGCCCTTTCGCAACAAAGCAAGACACGAAATATATATTCTTCGAGAACGCATTTCAGAAAGCACATGTTTGTATGTTAAGGTTTTGATGCTATCTTTTTGTGACTCGCAATTTTATTTCCTTTACTCGAAGAAGCATTTCGTTTAAGATTCCAATAATTTCTTTTAAAGATAAGCGCACAAGAGGGGAGAAGTTTTATATATGCTGCATATATGTACATACGAGTAAATATGCCAATGCGTTTACAGATAAACTTTATGTATATGCTATGATATATACTTGTACGTAGATTTAGTAAGATATATGCAAGTATATAAGCGAAGTCTAGAGTGGAGCGTAAACACTGTGCGAAAATAACGCATTATCCTATTATCATAAGTTTACGGCAGTGTATTGAGCAGCTGGTGTGAAATGTCTCATAAATAAAAATAATATCGGATTTGGCCGTTAGCTTTCAATATATCTATTTTATCATTAAAAAAGTTGTATGCTCAGGTCGCAAATTCCACAAATTGCACAAGTTCACTACTCATGTTGTACTTAGCATAGAATTCTGCTAAAGCTATAATAAGTATGTACGCATATACCAAATTTTTGTTTAAAAAATCTTTACTTAGTTGAAATATTTCCTACAGGGTATTAATATGCCATACCAGTGCTTCAAGTACGCATTCGCATACGTGAACGTGCTTTTTATGTGTGAATATAGTATACAATGCTAGTGTACACCGATTTTTCGTTAGTATTCTCATTTCATTCCCTTTTATTATTTTCACTAGCCTTGAGTTATTTTCATATTACATGCATTATCGACACGAGCAACCAAAAACAAAGAGTAAGAAAGTTTACTTACAACGAATATATCCGAAAATGAAAAAGTCACTATCATATGCATCCAAGCGTTACCAATTAAATTGTGTCTACCAAACGCATACTAAAGTTTTGCTTCAAATGTTAGCATATAATAAGGCGCTTAAGCCTACACGCAAGCAATTTGCACCTCTTTCATTGTTGTTGTTCAAATATTCGAAATGCAATCAAGCTTATACAGCACGCAACATTGAAAATACCAGTTGAATTGTGTAAGGATAAGGATATTAATTTGGGCATTTGATGTGAATTTATACCCTTTTCCCGCACACAGCACACGCACCAGAACACATTTAAATAGGCTGACAGTCGGTAAAATGTAAATTTCAGCAATTTTGCGCACCTATACTTTTGGTGTACAACAACAAAACTCAAAGTCGGTCGACATTGTCTGGCTGTACATACTTGTACATAAGTATAAATGTGTGAGTACATGTTGTCGCACGGTTCTACATCATTTGAATTTTCCAAGAGAAAGCTTTATTGAATCTTGGTGGCACAGGCTTTCTGTGGTCATCTGTTCATATTGTTTGTGTCTTGGCTTGATGAAGAAATTACTCAATTATAAATCACAATTCTTGGAATTCGAATGAAAGTATTAATATACGGTAGATTGTCTTCGTACAGTGTCGCAGGTTCTTGTTGCTACGAAACGTCATTGAAAGTTTATTTATCTTGTGAAGCATAGCGTAGTTGCTGCTTCAGCTTGATAGATTGATGACTCAATGTTTTATGGAAGGCTTTTCAATTTGTGGTTTGCGGCTTGTGAGCCATTGAATGCATAAATAAACAGTATCGACTTGGCATCGTAACGCAAAAAGCCGACGAAAGACGCTTCGCAGAAAATTTAGAGAAATTTGAGGTGAAATATATGTTGGTAAACTATGAAATTAGTTTATTATTACATTAACCCTAGGAATTGAGTTTAAAATTGGAATATTAAAGGACTTAATTGATAAGTTGTTATGGATCACCAATTTGCTGGAAAATTTGGAAATATTGTTGTTTAAAATTATGAAAGAAAATCAAAGCAAAATGTATGAAACAAAATCGTACGTAAGTTAATAATTTCTCGATTATTGTACATATATTGTTTATATTATTTTATAAAATTTAGAAACTCAAAATTGGCAGAGAAATTTTTGGTTGCCATATTTTTATATTATTTGTGTTATTATACAGTAATATTTACTAATATTTCTAATAAATAAACCAATTAATAAATATTTGCTTTTGGGTTAATTATTTTCTATGAATATATACCTACAATAATTTATAATCTAATGTCAAAAAACTATATAAGTGCATAATTTTGCTAGCTGGCAACATAATAAGGGGAAAAATTATATTTTCTGTAATTTTTCCACGCTGTGCAATTTAGCTCAATTTTTTTTTTTATTGATTTCTCGCCATGATGCTTCATATCTGCGAACAAAAATTTGAACTTATGTTTACAGTTACAGATAATACGACACACTGATAACAAGAACTGACAGTAAAGCGCAGACACAGCACAAAAGAAAACAGATTCATTAACTGTAATAACATTTACTTATACTCAAAATTAAAATATGCACGAGGCAAACAAAGAACGCAACAAAAGTGTACACTCCCAGAAATTGTGCTGAATACGCAGCCAAGCGCACGTCCCAAAGCGAAACGAAGCTCAATTAACGAGTAGTTTGTTTACTTATTTTAAGCTTTGATTGACCTCCGTCACTTAATAAAAACAAATGCAACAAAATCAAAGCGTAACATAATAAATTAATGCAAGGAGAGCACACAATAGCTGTATACTCGTCTATATAGCAATGTGTATATACTTGTATCTATGTACATGTTAATAAGTGACACGCCTTAAAAGCCAGCAATACGCAAGGGAGACAAAAAACAAGTCAAGCTAAAAACAAAAAACAAGTCTAACAAAAATCATTCATCAACAACTCAATTAGAAGGTGAAAAGCAAAAAGCGTGTTGCTGGAAATTCTATTCTTACGAGAGACTGTAGTGTGGAAACTACTAATATATGGATAGATGATGGATAATGGATGGATTAAACACTATTTTTTGACATAATTTTCGGTTTCATATGCACAAGAGAACATTTCACCGTCATTTTTAGCGCATATTCACTTGAAATCCGAAGGGCATCGTTAATATTAAGACGCCACAGGAAGACATTTTCGCATTCAACGCTTTTTATTGCAGCTTTATAGCGAGTATGCTTAAAATTACTCAATTTTAACAAGTGCCATGACTTGCTACATTGAAGAAAAGCACATTCAGCAAGTTTAGTAATTATTTATTAGTAAATTTATAATTGATGATATAAACACGAAAAGTGCTCGAAATCTCAAGATATCTAAAACTACATGTGCATATGTGTGCACCACTTTACTGGCGCCGCGAACAGTATTGTATATGTAATGCGTAGGGCACAACTTCCTTTCACTCAATTTCCCGTAAAAACACCAATGCTTCCTGTAGACTTCCTGCCACCGCACTCTCACCCAACATTTTGTCAGCTGCCAATTTCACCTGTAACCATCTGCCTTTCAATGTGCCACTCCTCTCGCCAACCCCTAATTAAGTGGCGCATCGCAGGGACCCGTCTTGGCAATGTTCAATTTACGGCCCAGCTTTTTGTAGTCTTTTTGCGTGCACTCGAACTCGCAACGATTTTTGTACGTAATACCGTTGGAGCCGCATATTTGTCCTTTCTGCGTGAGATCGCAAGGACAAAACGAAGCCTGAGTCAACGTGGCGAATGCAGCCAGAAGCAGCAACAGTGCGGCGAACAGCGAAAAGGACTTCATTGTGTTTAACATATATGTGTATTATTTACTGCCGTGTATTCCAATTAAAACTTTTACTTTTCACACACTCACTCGTAAATTAAAAGCAAACGATCGGCTTGCGCTTTAAAACGAAACTGAAGTGTAGCGCCGTCAAGCGGTCCAACTAAAAGCGATTGTTAGCAAATGAGGCGCCGAGGAAACCACCGCGATGAGTAAATGAGGCGCTCTCCACTGAAAACGTATTTTTTATTTTTTGTTTTTTGTTTTCTTTTTACGTTTCACGTAAGCGCGAAGCTGTTTGTTTATATGCGCATGATAAGTGTATTAATTACAAATATAGCGACCGAGTACTATGTACTTGTATGTATGTAAATAGTGGACGTGTGCGGCGTTTTAATTACAGCACTCTTTACTCTTTCACTGGTTCTTTAAGCTTATATCAAACTCATATGAGTTTAAATATTTACTTAGCGACCCATTTGGAATGTGAACTCATTGTTTTCAATATTCAATTAAAAGTGGTATTTCAGTTTTTTGCGTAATACATTCTACTTTATTTTCACTGCAGAAAATACTGCTCTTACATTATTAATTTTGCCATAATCTTTTACTTGAACCCATTGCAGGCATTTCTTTACGTTTCTTATTTTCGTTCAAATGTGAATTGTTGGCATTGCGGTGCTACTTCCAACTCGTTCTTCATTCCTCTGCATATCCTCAGCGTGTTTCCTTCTTGCTTCCTGAATTTTGCAGGGCTGACAATTTATAGCAGCACATTTTGTAACCAAAGTCAAAATAAGGAGAATTAGAGCGAAATGGACCGCAAATCTCATTGTCAGCTTTAACGCGTGAATTTTTAAATGTAGTCACCTGTAGGTTTAGCCAGTCACTGATTTGTAAGAGAAACACGCTTACTTAATATTTGTAAAAGCTTAGATTAGACTTTTAGCAACTAAATTGTTCAATCAGTGGGCAATTCTTCTTTTATTAAAAAGCTAAATTCAACAAAACCTTAGAATTACACGTTGTTGTCTGCGCTGGACACATATACTCGGCAATATAATTATATACAAATTATATATTTATACATTGTACTGTATTATAGTTGTAAATGTGAAAACATAAAAACAGAAGTTCTAATGGCAAACTATTTTCTCACTCAACAATTCAGTTTCTGTTGAGTTTGAACTTTCAATCAAAGTAAGTATATTTATCTAAATGAAATTACACATATTTATTAGCATTACCTCTTAAATATTTCAGCACAAATACTTTCCACAGGTATACCACATCGTTCAGCCCTTAACGCTCCAGTGCGAATTCATTTGAAGAATAAGCATTCTAAAGGTTGCTTTTAATATTATTTCTGTTTTAATTATAACATCCTCTTTATTCTTTTTTCGTATCGTCAATTCCCACAATTTGCATACTTAATTAGAGACTCTTAAACCCCCACGGTGCATAAATATTCGATACTAAACTAAGTGGCGTCAAGTGGCGTTTGTGTGGTATATGATAAGTGTTGTTGTTGTTTCTTGTTTACAACTATGTGCCCCTTGTGTTGACACTTTCAAGAGAAAAAGTCATTCATCACAAGGTGTAAATAATAAAAGCACACCAACTTGCCAACAAATAAGTGTAGTAGGTACTACAAGTATAGCACCGCTGGAGAACAGAAGTTTATTTGTATTTCAAAAAGTTTGCTTAAGCCAATTACAAAATTACAAACATAAACATTCAAGTGACTAATGCAACAAAAAGTCAGTGGGAGGTGCTGAAATCATATAGCTTACAATGTTTTTATACTTTAGAATAAATTTTAGAATTATTTCTGGCAGCAGTTTAAAGCATTTGAAAGCACTCATACCTTTTAGAAACAATTTATTTGTTTAGAATGAATCTTTGCTTTATTCGCACTATTTTGCACTATGTTCACTATCTTCTCGAGCGAATAATGGCTGCGAACTAGCCCTAATTAGAACTTAGTGCTTGCTAAAAAAAGCTCCAATAAACTATATGAAACTTTGTATTAAAAGCTTTGGTCTTTAGACCAGTTGTTATGAGCTTTTGGCATAAAACTTTTCAAATTATTCAAACTTTAATCATTACAGTCACAAATCAGAATAGCAACTAAGTGATTTGTGAATTTTAATAAAGTGTAACGTAAATTAAGATTAATGTTCCTTTAATTACTCACTAAACCTATTGCAATTGAATAAACAGCTCAATGCAAAATTTCTAACGGAATATCGGAAATTTGTGGCTAAAAAATGATTACATATAATTTAACTTGAGGCTTCAATGGTCTTAATCAGGATTGCAAATAATCCATTAAAAAAATAATTGAATTAACATTTGTATTTTGTAATCCAAATACGGGATTAAAAAAACTTTCATTCCACATAGCGGGTTAAAAACTTAAAAACAAATGTGAAACCCGAAAACCGGATTAAAAATTTATTTTTAATCTTTATATTTTTAATTTTTAATCCCAACTACCGGATTGAAAAATAATAAAGGAAAATTTTAATCTTAGGCATATAATTAAGAATAAGTCCCAACATCGGAATTAAAAAATAAAAATTTAATTATTAATCCCAGATTTTTTAATTAAAAAATTCGCAACCCTAGTCTTAGCACATATTTGGGAATAAAACCATTTTAGCTCAATGGCAAATTCATCACTTGGCTGGTTCACACAGAACACAAGTATTTCCAGACTAAGAAATATAGAAAGATTATCGATGAGCAACGTATCTCTTTTCAATTGCAATCACATATACACAGTATCTGAAATGTAAATGAATTCTTAGAAGCCTTAGCAATAACTAGTTTTTCTACAAGGGCAGTTTTATAAACACTTAATTGAACCTATATATACATGTGGGTTGTGAAAAACAAATATTGTGGTGAGCTTTCATGAAACCTATCAAAAACTGAAGTTATGAGTTCAATAATTCAATCTGCAATATTTCTTTTTTAATAAAATAAAGTATGGTATTATTTAACTTTTAAAATATTTAACTCAACGATAAAGCAGCTTTGAAAGGTTTTGGTCACTATCAGAAATCAGTTAACGAAGAGACTGTGTACGAAAGCAAGATATTTTTATTTTTTTTTTACATATTTTCTTACTGGCAAGGCGATCCTATGCAGCCACCCTCGTATTCTAGTCTAACATGCAATTCGCAATAAAAATGCTAAAAGTTGCATTTAAGCTTTCGCTCATTGACTATAGATCATCAATTTGTGCGACTAAACTAGCAAACTCTATAAATGCCACACACCAAACATAAATGTTTTCACAGTCGCAGGAAAGGCCTAAGCAAGTGTAACATTCAACTAGTCGTGTCATTTTTATTGCCTATAACAAGTAGCCGAGAGTTTTGCGATTGCAATGCAGTTATTAAATATTTTTGTGTTGCTTTGCCTCGCGTTGACGATGTGCTTCACATCAACGAACGGACAGGTCTGTGCGTGTCCTTACAACTACGCTCCTGTCTGCGGAAGCGATGGCCGAACTTATAGCAACGACTGTGACTTACAGTGCAATCAGAGATCTCGTGGCGGATTAAGAAAAACGCATAACGGAGCATGCTAAAATGTGCACACTTTTCATTTGAATAATGATTATATATAATGATGTTGTAATTATTAATAAAATACTAACTGTCATAAATAAGTCACTCAGTGATGCGAAATCTATTTTATTTGCTTGGTGCTCTAATCAATTCTTATTCTTCAAAGCTATTTTCTAGCTAGAATGACGTTTTAAAGAGTGAGCGGGTGTAACTAACTGATTAGTACGCGCCCGCATGCAAAGGCAAATGGAAAAACTCAATGCCAACAATTACTAAGATAAAAATTACGAAGTATCATCCCTCAACTACAAAAATAGATATATGCAGCGGAGTGTTTCTAATCGGCTAAATTGTTTTCTTAACAAAAATAAAAATTAGTAAATGTAAACATCGTTAAGGAATTTTTAACATATTGTAATTACAGTCGAAGCTCACAAATTAGAACCACTTTGTTTTTAAAGTGCTAATGTCTGAAAAATTTTAGTTTCTAGAAGTTTATTTGTAAATGTAAAAGCAGAAAAATTGGTTAAATTTATCTCAAAAAACTACAATTAAATTCTTTTTTAAGGCAAAATCCAGTACAATACATATCACAAGTTCATATTGAATTAAACATATATCTATGCATGTATACATTAAATCAAAAATAGATGCAACAAAAAAAACAAAAAGATGCACTACAATTTTATTATTTATATTTAACCTGTTAAAAATAAAAAAAAAGAATATATTCTCAGTAAAAAATAAAGATAATTACGATAATTTTCAAAGCTAAGATATTAGTTCTAAAATAGACGGCTTAATCAATTATGTAATTAATGCAGGTTCTAATTTGTAAGCGTCGACTTTACTCTTAATTACTTATTAATCATTATTTTCTAGCAATTTGCTGTGTATGAAAGCCACTTAATTTTTTACTAAACCTCAGTGGCTACATTAGGTTTTTCCAGCGAAATCGCAATATATAAACTCGTGCAAATAATCTCGCTTTATTTATGTACTTAAGTTGAGTTTCAGATCATCTAATTTGTTCTTCAAATATACTGTATCTACCTACAAATAGCACCGCCGGACAAAAATACTTTCAGAATTCAAATCAAAGCACAGTTGGATAATCTAAAAAAATTTTACCTTTTCCAGTTAAAAGATAAAATGCAAATTTTCAACTTATTCATGTTATTCCTGCCGACGCTGGCACTCTGCCTCACAGTGTCGAATGAAGCAACACACTGCATCTGTTATTACAATTACCTGCCTGTCTGCGGAAGCGACGGACACACATACGCCAACGATTGTAATTTCGAATGCCATCAAAAGGCCAACGTCGGTTTGACACTAGTACATCGGGGACATTGCTAGTAATATTTGGATTTTAATTTTATAATTTCTACTTGGCTTATATCACTTAAATAAATGTCTGAAACCCGCTTTTGCACAATGTGGTTATTTGAATTATAGAAAAGACCGAATTAAAGGGGAAACCGACCTACAGGTTTACACCAGTACATTAATGTTATACTATTTCTATATATTTTATATATTATATTATTTTATGAAATCGTGGTGAGTTCTGGGTCAGTAAGTCAAGTTCAAAGCGATAAGCGTTTTTAAGAGTTTAAGCTGAGCAATCACAAGCACATCTTGTGTGAGACAGATAACCAAAATTCAATATTGATGATTTCAAATATATATTATATATGCGCTTAACATTGGGGTAGACAAACTTATACCCCGAAAGGGGTATATTAAGTGTGCCACGAAATTTGTGATACCCGGAGGGGACAGCATATATGAGTATATGAATGATCAGCGTGACTAGCTGAAGCGATTTAGTCATGCCTCTCTGTCTGCATGATATGTTCGCCTGTCTGTATATACGTGAACTCAGTTTTTGAGATATCGCTTTGAAAATTTACAAACGTCCGTTTCTCCTCAAAACGTTTCCCATTTGTCGGAACTGCCTGTGTCGGATGACTATGGGATATAGCTGTCATACAAGCTGATCGATAAAACTTAAAATGAAGATCTTCATAAAATATATTTTTTCTTTATTAAATAGTCTTGATTCGACTTGTAGGTTGTTAACATCAAACAACGTGGCCAGAAAGTACTATCCTTTTCAGATTTTGTTATACTACTACTACTACTGTTACTATAAGAAATTCACGTGTGAATAATATTTTAGCTTCGATGCAGCCGGAGTTAACGTTTTTTCTTGTTTTGTATTAGAAAAAACAACATCTTTCTGAACATATTTATTCTTAATCCAATAAAATAGTTATAAATAATAATATTGCGTGGTTAACTACTTTCCAGATACTACTTTTTAGTTTGCTTGTATTTTTATGGTATATACTAAATTTGTTCAGTTGTTCATTAACATAATAATTCAGACATAAACATTTGCTTTCGCTTTGGTATTTGCTCAAGTTGCTATTAACTACTTTAACTTTAGTTTTTAATAGCGTGTTGACGAAAAATCACATTTGAGCGCTAAGCGAACTATTTTCGCTAGCTACAATTAGTTTTTAAAGATCAAGCTTTCGGCTTAGCTAAGTTTACCACAAAACAATTCGATTCGTTGGCCGACACATTATTTATTCAAGAGATAAGAAAACACTACAGCTGTTTCAGTTTTTATCAATAAAACTCTTTTCCACACAAGCCACGCAGTTCAGTTGTCTGCCGAAAGCACTTGCGCGTAGTACTCTATGGAAGTAACCACCAGTTGCGATCAAGCCACTAACTACACATAATTCAAAAAAAAACACATAAACACACACGAAGTACAGATTAAATATGCAAACAATGAAATTCATGTGTTACATTGCGTCTTTCCTGCTGGCCATCGTATTGTTTGCCGCACTGACCGAAGCTGCAGCAGCTGAAGTCGATTCTGATAACGAGGAGGGACTCGACTGCATATGTCCACGCCACTTTGAGCCAGTCTGCGCCGCTAATTTGGTAACCTATCCGAATCGTTGCATGTACGATTGCGTGCGTCGCGGCGAGGAGCGTAGAGGACGTAGTCTGGAGTTCCTGCGCTCCGGACCATGCGGGGAGTGACGATTATAATAAGACTTTATTGTTTATGCTAAGCCAAAGTAACGCTATTGTTTTCGAATAATAAATGTGATAAATGATATAGATTGTTTTTCTATGAACATTACTCATTGTTGGTTCGATTTGTATGTATGCATACATAGGTGTGGATACATATATATAAGTAATAGAATATTATCAGTTTTCGTGTTATCATTTAACGTATCAGCCAGCGCAGCGATAACACTTTAATATACCAACTAAATAAATTGATGAAAACGCCAATAATAACGAAGTTGCCTCCGAAATCACATACAAACATTTTACGTATGCAGCAGTCTGGCCAGCCGATTAGACAATAATTACACGGGTAATCAAGCAAATAAATTATGAAATGATCATTGACCGATAATATAATAGAATATAATATATGATTTCTCAGAAAATGTTTAATTTTATGTATCAGAGGAGTTTCACCGATCACAGCGTAGGCCTCTAGAATTAGATATGATCACCAAATTTCGTAATCCTCGTAAAATTTTGAAAAACCTAATTCTATTATAAAAAAGTGTACAACTTAGTAAATGACTTTTATAATACGAAGATCAACGACAGATATTTTACAATGATTTTCGCTTTCAATTCTGAAATTGAGCCAATAAGTATGCTACGTTAACTTGAAGAGAGTAATTTTTGCGCAAAATGCTCTCTTCTAAACGCTATTCTCAATGATAATATATTTCAATAAACCTCGTAATTTACTACCCAAAGGAAAAACCAACTCAAAAATAAATTAGAATGATTTATCATATCAGAAAATTTGATCTACCGACTATATCGTTTTAGTCATATTTATATACGCCAGCGAAACGTAAGCAAAAGCTTGAAACTTTCATTATTATCAAACTAGAAGCTTCTTGCTTTTAGTATTTACCACTATATGAAGTCTTTGTTTATCAGCTTGCTGGGTATATTATTTTTCACAAAAAACACTTAAATTGTGCATTGTTCCATATACTGCTTTATTGTTTTTATATTATAAATCTGCTTTAGGAAAAAATTTCAAAAAACTCCAACATCAAAACTTGCTTTCTTTATAGAATTTTATTTAGTAAACTGCTTAAAGCATTTTCAACATTCAGCAACAAAATCCAACTCAATTGCAAACTCCCTGGCGCAGGATGGACAATACTTTACCCACTCGCGCCAATATGGAGCGCTTGCATTCGAACAGACAACGGTTCTTGTAGGTGCGATTGTCTGTGCCGCAAACCGGTGTTAAGCTGCGCTCGCAGATGCATGAGTCCAAGTCCTTATCCTCATCAGCAACGGCGTCTACAAGTGGCTCTGCAACCGCCACATGCTTTCTACCCCGTGTCTCGCCCGCACAAACACCCGAACGCACCAGCTCCAAACTGCGGCCCATGGCCTTCAACTTGGTGCGTGCACATTCATACATACAACGGTTGCTGTAGGTTTGCGAATCGGAGGCACAGACTGGTGAATACTGACGACCGCAAATGCAATCGCCATCGATGGCATTGATAGCTGCAGCTTCAGCGACGAAGCTAGCGTATGCATAGTAAAGGCCACAGCACAACAACAGCAGCAGGCTAATAGAAAACTTCACTGAAATCTTCATTTTGCACAGCTTTGTTAGAAAAATTAATTATTTCGTTCGAAAAATACGTGTAAATTCGCGAATTTGCTAGAATAAACTAAAATGCTCTTCAAAGGTATTAAATGCTGACAAGAATGGTTTGCCTGCAAACGGGCTACCGTTTTATCAGTTCCACCGCTGATAACTTAACGGGTGTACATAACATTTTGGAAAACAAAAAAGAAGCTATTTTATATTGAAAGTTATTGCGAATTCAGGAAAGAACGCGAGAAAAGAAAGTGTAGATCCGAACAAGTACTTGAGCATTAAAGAAGTTAAACCGTGCATGAGAGTTCCACTAATTATCAAGAAAAAAAGCTGGCTTCCTCTATTTCATAATTTCTAAGTCATGTATACCAACACAACAAATGCTATACGAGTATGTGTATATGGGTCACCCTTTATTTATACACGAAGAATTCGTTAAATAAATAGTAATCTTTTGGCAACAAATCAGCACTTGAAGAGTCTTAAGTAGTCGATGCTCGCAAATCAAAATTAACGATATGCCGCTACTAGCAAGGTACCTATGTATATATGTATATATGGGTATAAATTTAGTTAAATATTTATATATTTTTAATTTTCGTTTCAATTTTTTACTTCTGCTTACGTTAAGTTTACGTAGCGCTGTTTAATCACTTACCAACTTATTTAAAATCGCTACTGATTACTTATTGCATGGTTCCTAATTACTTTTGTTATGGGTCTTGTAATTAATAAACAATTCTTCGAAAGGTGCGCGACTCATGGATAAATCACAGTGATTCGAAATTACGCGCAAACAACTTTTGTGTCTTACATGATTTTAATCTTCCACGTTTGAGTAATATGTAGAGCTGCAATTTGGGTTACTCGCGTGCAATGCTTGTAAATTTTAGCAATAAAATTAAGCAAATCGCAGCAGGAAATAATTTAGAGAATTTTGAAAAAAGATTTTAAGCTCAAAATTAACCAAATTCAAGTATAGACTAGTGACTACTACTACTACTAAAATTGCATAAAAATCTAAAAGTTCTTTAAAACCTCTAAACTTATACCTGATAAGTTTTATGTCATTTTATAATATTTTAAATAATTTTTCAAAGTCCATAATGCTGTAATAATTAATTGTATAATTTACTTTATATAATTGTCAGTGGCCAGCACACCGGAGAGTTTGCCCAAGCGTGAACGAGACGATCTACCCACCGTCGGCAATATAACGTCGATTGGCTCAACAAGTGGCAGTGTTGCAAGTGAAAAACGCTCAAAGGCAGACAGTCCCACTGGCAGCAGTTCAGCAGGATTAATAAGCAGCGGCACAGTAGCGGGTGGCTTATACACAAGTGAGGAAATAAACAGTGGCACAACAACCACAACAGCGAGTGGCACAAGCAGCACCGTTGAGAGTGTGACTATCAATGGTCAAATTGGAAGTGAGTGTACTGATTTTTCAATCTATAAAATATATGTCTATGAAATAATTTGTAAGCTTTTGCACACATATCCATAAACCCGCTTTGCTAGACTCAAAGCTCAATATATATGTGTGAAAGAATTGCCCTACAAAAGTTGTCTAGTACTTTCTCCTAATACTCTGCTTTTCTCTCGCATATTAAATCGAGCAATATCAACGCAACTAGGCTGGTATGCTGCCGCTAAATTTCTTCTAATGCGCACAATTCCAAAAGCATAAATTTCAACAACACCAAATAGTCAAAAGGCATAAAATAAACATAAATCTCCTTTGGGCCAGCAAATAAACAGTAAAAGAGAGTCTGAAAGAAATAAAGAATACAAGCTGTAATGTAAACAGGGCCGCCCACTTTAGGCGTTCTTGTAATTTGGCGGACCGTAAGTGATTTTGTGCATTGGTGTGTGCATGCACGCACACATGCACAAGCAAACAAATAAGCACTCTAAGAGGAGTTTACAACAAAAGAACAAGAGCAAAGTGCAAAGGGAAATGTTTGATTTGTGCACTGCTCCCAAAGGGGAATCGCGCAATCGTTTGCATTACATGATTGTAGGCGGGTCTCATAGCGGCACGTTGATTGAGCTGGGTTATTCAATTTGTATCACAGAATATTTATTGAAGTGAGGAAAAATAGATATTGTAAAATGAGCAAATTGAAAATTCTTCATTTAAAAATTTGTTTGGTTGTGTTCCTGACACTTTAAAGTAGGCTTGGCTTCGTGGCTGATTCCGTGAAAGTGATCACGGAAATATCACTCAGACAAATGAAGCAGCCGCACTTTTTGTTGCCAAAAACTTCAAACTATGCTTCAAGAGATTCTAATGTATCAGCCCACGAAGCACCTTAAACCTAACAAAACTTTGCTGAGCAGACTATATCCGATTCCAGGCAACAAATGTATCATATCAGTATTTTGAAAATGAGGTATGCACTGCGACCTAGGGTCTATTGTGCATCATATCAGTATACCTAAAGCTGGAGAGCGAGAAGAAACTGTAAATTGTTTCTCACTTGCCGTCTTTTAAATAGTTTTGACAGTTTGCTGACCCTATAACTTCATTCACGAATTGCGTTCTTGTCTCCACCCGCGCTCAGCGTAGAATATGCAAAGCTTTTATACATAACACAAAACGAAAACCCTTTATGCAGATCTGTCTCGCCATTAAAGCCAAAATAAATATTCTTATTTATGCATGCTTATTTTTGGCGTTGTTATATTCGAGTGATGGCATGGTTTGAGCTGTTTATGTTGGCTTCTCTGCCTACTCGAGCAAACTGAGCAAGTGCGGCGCGGATTGTTCAATTTAAATGAGCATAAAGATGTCACCGTTGGTTACTGCATTTTAGTAAATATTTACAGTTAAACCAGTTCATGAACTAACGCTTTAAAGCTTTTTCGTGCACCATCTTGCTACACTTGCAATTCAAAGCTAATATTCTTGAAATTCCCATAGTTGTATGCGATATTATATTCAAAATAGTAATATGTATATATGTATTTGTATTGCTTTGAAATATTGTTCAATATAAATATTGTTTTTCCTTTACAGGGCACGGCTCTCTCACTATTGTACGACGTTCCAATAGCCGCAAGAGCTTCATACAGCTTGATGCACAGCAACAAGGCATTCTCACATCCCCATCAACAGCTTCAACAACACCTATAGGTGGTCCAACACAGCAACAATTGCATATACAACAACCATTTGCCGGCATAGCTACCGACTTAGCTGCTCAACTGCTCAACAGCAGCGACAGGAAGAGTCAGCAAACGCCAAGCAATTTTCCACCGGCAACAAACACAGACAATCGCGCAAACGATACTAGAAGATCTAGTAACAGCGAACGACGTATTGAAGTGGTACCGAACTTTACTGCGAATACCACACCGAACGTTCCAGTCGTTGGAAACTCCGCACAACACCAGCGTAACAATCTTACAGCAACGCCAGTGGGCTTGACCAGTACCGCCGCTGCAGACAGCAGCAACAGCAACAGCAATAACGCCACCTCGGCCACTAATAGCACAAGCAATACATTTAACAGCGCCGCCATCAGCAGCCTAGCCACCGCCAACAAAATGCAAGCACCAGCACCGGGTTCACCGAGCGCCGAAACTAATAGTGCGGGCGTACGCGAAGGTGAAGATAAATGCGCGAGCCTAGATTTGGCCACGGAAAACTTACCAGCTGTCGATACACCGGACGCTTGCGATAAAGCGGCAGTGAGGTGAGTGTGATGACGTTTAAATGCATAATAAATATAAGTAATATTCGGTTCCAGGAAACCGAATTTCCATCAACGAAAAGATCAATAGCGTGCATGTACTCAGCGTTTTCTTCTAGATTTAAATACTTTATAGCTCTAAATTTAATATATTTTTATGTTTTGACAGATTGCGCTGCTTATTGCATTTGTTAAATACTGGCGATATTTCGAACGACGTTTTGCAACGCAACCTCCATTATGCGGCACGCGTTCTCGAAGCCGTCTTCCTCGACGAGTCCAAGTAAGTATTTTGTTGCAAGCTGGTCTTTAATAAGCAGTTGAACTAAGGGCTGGTCAGTTAGCCTTAAGCGATTGTCATAACCGACAATTCAATAGTATTTCTTACATACTTGTGAACCAGAAGAAAGTAAATTAATAGAAATATACCACAGATCTAAAGTTGTTAGCCAAAATTTGCGAAAAATCGTTCTACATGAAATAGGCTATCTGAAATTATCGATAAAGAACTATAGTATGTATGCAAAAATTTAATAAAGAAAAACAGAAAGATTATTAGATTATTTTAGAAATTTGTGGTAATGATGATTATTTTTATGTCTACACAGTTTATGGATTTAATTATACAGCTTTATCTACAATTATTTACACCAAAAGCCCTACATTTCGTCATCATTGTAATGAGGAGTATATACACATATATATATATATATCAATAAAAATAGCCAAGTAGTTAAATTTGCGCTAGAATTTTCGTTTTTAATATCAGAATCCAAATTAAGCTTCCGAAATTGATTTTTGGACTTAAAAAGCTCCGCTTCTACCATATATATTTATGCAGTTAAACATTGGCCGTAAGATTTCTTATTGAAAGGAAATTATTTTGCTACGAATTTCACATCAGCTGAATGGCCACTGGCTTACATGCTTTTAGTAGAGAAATTAAACGCTTAGAGTTTTGAAAAAAGCGAGTTTGATCACATGCTTAATATTATATAAGTAGGATATCAGTAGGAAGAGTAGGGATGACGTTTATATTAAACAAACTTGAATGAAAATGTTCATATCAATAGATGAAATATAAACATTTTTATCACTGTAAATGTACTTCACATTTTGGAGCCTCGAACTTTCACTTCATCGTATTTCATTCTTCACTTGTGGTTGTTGTTCATCAGCTCATTATATTTATGTATAAGTGTTAATCGTATTTGAGAACTCATGTAGTAATTGTTTTTTATTTAAATAAAGCAAAAAATACAACAGACGTAATTGCAATTCTGCGATCAAATGTTATACAGAGATATAGATAATAAGAGCTTTCACTCAGTGGTTGAACTTTTGTAATTTAAGTGTGAAATTTTCCTTTCATTGGTATTTTATTAGGTGTCATATATAGTCATATACCTGAATGTACTGTTATCTTTCATAATGTGTTTTTTACTCAATTTATCACTCAAACAAATTTTGTAATTTCGAAATTTTTCACCTAAATTTCTCTACATCTCCATCGCGAAGAAGATCAACTACTTCAAATGAATGTTCCATAAGGGGATCTTCTTCCAAACTTACCGCTCAAACTTCTAACGCAGAGTAAGTGTCTGTTAACTTTATACATTCACACATACAGGCCAAATAGAGTTGCCTAGTTCCATTCCAAATTTTTGTATTTTATAAAAATATATTTTGAATGTTTATTTATTGATTCATAATTGGCACTTCTAATCACCACTATGTAATATGAAAGCCTTTAAGTGTTCTTCGTTGGCTCATAACCTCAAGGATATGTGTAACTAACTTAGTGGATTATACATAGTTAAAGGACAAATTAAGTGTATATACCATAGATACATATTCTAGATGTCTACTCTCATTAGCTTGTATTTCACTTTTGTGTTCTGTCATTATGTGTGCATTTTTCAGTCGTTTTAGAACAACATTCTGCTCATTCATTTATCATATTATAAGCAATAATTACCATTTATGATTACAACCAATTTATACGCTTAAAAATTTGTGTGAAATTTGTTGGAAAATATCCGCGTGCTTTTAAAGCTTTTAATACATTTTCGCCATCACAAAGTTTACAAAATTAAAATCTTCTTATTAACATAATCTGTATATTTAAATACACCCAATTTTCCAACAAATCGTTACTTAAAATTTTTTTCATCAATTAACTCATAGAGAATGTCTGCATTATTTAGAAGTCTCACAAAATTATAATACAATTAAACCTCTATTAGTGCAACCAGTCTAATTATAGTATATATTGTGGGTCTGAACCCCTACCAATTACTTTAATAGACATTTATTTCTATTCGCCCAGTCAATGCCATGAAATCTCAATTTAATTTATCGTTTCTATTCTCTCTGCCAATTATTTCTTTGTATATATGTATGTGATTGTATGTGTGTAAGGATGAAACTTTGTAGAGTTCTGTCAAAACTGCACGAAATTCTAATAAATCTCATCCATGGATTGGCATTGCACAGGCAGTTTTGACAAAGTTCTGGCTGTCAAACAAAGTTGACAAAAAATGCGATTTTATAAATTGACTTACATCTCATCTGGCAATCATTGTCCACTTAAAGGCACTCAATTTTATTAAATGTGATTTCCCTATTACAATTCTTTTTTGCCAATATTCTATAAAAACTTTTTCGTGTTGAATAGAATAGACATACATACGTACATGGGCAATGTACATACTTGCAAATCAATTTAGCCAGTTACTTGCTCTGCTGTAAGTAGTACTGGCACCTTCTTTGTGTGTGCACGTTTTTCGAAAAAGATAACAAAGCCTATCTCTTGTCTTTAACTTAATTTATATATGTTAGCGTATAATGGAAATGAAAAATTCAACAAAGCAATTTAACGGTGGAAATTTTGCATTAGTTTATACTATACTTTTCTATACTACTCTGTGGACCCTGTACACCTACGGGCAGGCCACAAGTTGCCGTATGCCCCAGTTTACGCCTTGTCTATTCATCCCTTTTAATCAATATAAACCTCTCCAGACTTGTCTTCATGCAGCAGGCATGCTTTATCTCGTGCTACTTACATACTTACACCCTCCCACCCCCTCTCTGAAATGGCATTTACTTTGCTGGTGCCCTGCTCTCAGCTTTTCTATACTTTAGGACCAACTTATTTCCACATCCGCATCCACATAATGTCTCGTCTCCGTGAACATACTCGTACATCAGCATACCATTCATAAACACATACATGCTCGTTTGTACATATGTACATATGCATCTCTCATCTATAAATACTAAGTATTGTGTTAGTTCAACATCAGCTTTACGTGCCTTATTGTTCCCATTATTGCTTGTTGAATAAGCGGGTAGGAATTGTTATGCAAACAAACTGGGACGAAAGGTAGGAATCCTGTGGAACATGCATACAAAGAGCTAATATTTGGACGAGTATATAAATGTAAATATGCAATGCACAGAAATTATACCCACAAGAGTACTCTCTGGGTAGAATACTTAAAGGAAGCAGACTTTTAAGCTTTTACAATTCTTAACTAAGGCAACCCGGGCCCTTCATTCTAGTGTAGTATGTCAGCTAGGAAATGTAACTAAATATATAAATATATATAACGACGGATAGAATTCCAATAAGCAGATAAATAGTTTAGTTCAATTCAAAGTGCGAATTCATACAATTACCTAATTGCACATCAGAAACTAAATTAAATTATTTCAATTGCTTGATAAGATATCTATAAAAGAATTCTATAATCCAATTAATCATGATTTTATTGAAAGTATACTGGATCTGTATAAAGAGAAAAGGGATTATTTAAATAATTATATTTTATATGTTTCGTGCAAAATTTTACAATAAAGTATCTAAGGGTAAAGTGAGCTTAAATATATGCCTAACACTTTGTTGAATTCTCTTTTATTGATGCAAGAGCAATTACCTCAAATAATAATTAAAAATTAAAAATCGACAAAAAAAATATTAATAGCTATACAGATTAATACTATTTTGGCTAGAATATTTTATTATAGGGTTACTGCAATTTCTATATAGTAATGGCGAGATGCTGTCGTCTATCTTGAAAAGAGAAAGGCTTAAACATTTCTCTAACACCCACTGTACTAAAACCCAAGCGTTTTGATAAAATATTTTGTATTTCTTTATTTTATATTAAAACCATTAATTGAATTTCTTTTCTCTCTTTCTGCGCTCTCTATGAAAAAACACAAAAATTATTGAAAATAAAAAAACTCTATGGGAAAATTTTACACAAAATTTCGCTCTTTCTACTATCAAAAAACGGACAACTGCTGTCCAACTCCCTTGCTCTCTGTGTGTGTTGCTGTTGCTATTACTCACTGCACACTGCTGAAAATGTCGCCGAATATCAACCCGTTTAAATACATAACTGTAACTGTAATCGTAACGAACAACGTAGTCAGGAGGCGCGTGAGGCTGGCGATTCGCATAAATGCTGCAGCGGCAGTTGTTGTAGCCAGCGCGGCCACCAACAGCATCAGCAGCATAGTTGTGCTGGTGGCGTTAGTGGTGAGGGTAGTGGTGCTGACAGCAATCTGGATAACAACAATTTGTGCAATAGTTGTTGTTCACGCTCTGATGAGCAACAACAACAGCAACAACAAAGCAATGCATTTGACAATCAAACCAGCATCGACAGCCGCACCAAAGGTGTAACGTTAGCGCCGCAAACGCACAGCGGACCCACCGGACCGCCGGATACAATTTTGGAAGCAGATGCCGAAGCAGAAGCAGCAGCCGAAACGGAAGCGGAAACGGAAACAGCGACGACAACAACAGCTGTCGCAGCGAATGCCAGTCAACCAGCTGAAACAGCTGAGCACGATAACTCCAAACCCACGGATGCAGCAGCAGATACGTCGACCACCAGTACAGCTAAGGTTAACTCTGCGGAGAGTAAAAGCGATAAACAGTGTAGTGACGGCGGTAATAGTCAGTGTGTCGGCAGCAGTAGTAGCAGTAGTAGTAATAAAGCAACCACGCAGAGGCAAAGGCGCCTGCGCACACCGGTCTGGGCGAGGTCCATGTCGTCGACAAATAAAACGTACATAAGATCAAATAACTTTATGAACTTTTGCAAATTTGTTGTTGACACTAATTTATATGGCTTTCGTTGTTTAACTAATTTGTATTTACTGAATTGAATTGTTTTACATAGCAGATTTAGTAGATTTTCTTTAACGAATAACCAAGAAACCCGTTTTGTTCGTTTAGTTGTTCAATTTGAAGACACATTATCAAATTAATCGATAAGCAATGTACTCGTATTAAAACCGATACAACAACAAACACCATAAAACATATTCTGTAAAATACTACATTGATCTCTTTGTCGCAAAGCTCTGCGTCCCTGTCTAACTCTTATGTGTACGTCCCATTTATGAACTCTATCTTCTCCTATCCATCTGTAAAACTGTCTTACACTTTTCATTCTATGCGACTTTGTGCAAAGCTTCTCTAACATTTGACACTTTTCCTCGAGAGTTATTGTTACTTGCACAGTTTTTTTGGCATTTAAGACTTCCCTCAGAACCTAAAGCATGTTTTATTGCATTCAGTATTCATTTAAGCATAATTTTCGATTTTATAAAACTTCTTTGTACAATTTTTGTTGCATGTTCTACAACTAAGAATGTGTGTGTATGTTATATTAAATGTGTTGTCTTTAAAAACTATGTATATCGAACTTTTGGATATACATACATACATACTTTTGGATATATAACTCATACCACAAGCAAGAAACTAACAAAACCTTCTAAATTTAGAACTGCGACAGCCTGCAGCTCCGTAACGGAAAAATGAAACAAAACATTAGCATAAACAAAAACACCGATTCGACGACCTTTCAGTCGATTTTAGAACGAAAAGGGATTTAAAACCCATGATTTGAAAATTTCGCTACATATTTTCAAATATCAAAAAAAATTCAAACGCAAAAATGAATCAACAAAACGCAAACGCAAATTGCTAGTTGAATACTTTTTAGATTTGTATATTAACTGCTAACTAACACTAGCTAGCAAAGTTTTTGCTGGAAAAGCGTGTTCTAACCAAAAGAAACTAGCAGTACTGGCAGAAGAGAGCACAAGTTGAGAGCGTAAAAAGCTGAGAGAGCTGCTAGTTTCTGCTAGTGAAATTTCTACTAGCAGAAAATATCTGCTACCATATGAAGAAACAGTTGTGAAAGCACGTTAATTTTGTTTATTTTCATTGTTTTGAATTGTGAAAATAAAAATTCTATTGATTAGTTTTTAAGTGTTGATTGTAAAAAACATAATTTTGATATTGTGTTGCTGGTTTCTGCTAGTTTTCCGTTACTTTACTTGTTCGTTATCACGCTCTTTGTGAGAGTAACTCTTAATTTTCTTCTCCCTGATAGCTAGCAGGTATTAGCAGTTCAGACACAAAGCTTTTATTGCAAAAATTAAAAAAAATATGTCGACACAGGGTGATCTTTAAAAATATTTTTTTTGCATAGAGACGCAAGAATATATTATTATCATGTGAATTACCGATTTCTTTCTAATCCCTGTAATATTATATACTATACTGAAAAATACTTAGAAATATTAAAAATTATAATTTGTACTTAAGTGTTTAATGCATACGCTATAGTAACTAAAATCATATAAAAAAATAATATTTATAATCATACCATATGATAGGCACACTTTATTGTATATTCTTTTTTTTATCGCTGAGCGTGCAACCCTGCACAGTTAGTGAGTAGTAAACATAGCCAGGCTCGCTCAGCTGACATCGACATTTGACAGCTAAAAGTTGCCGCCAAAATACAAACAAGTGTGCACCGGTTAACAATTAGAAAACGTGTTTAATTTTATAAACGAACGTTTTTAGATGGGCGTTTTATAAAAATAACTTCAATTTGTTAGTTGTTATATGCAAAAATGTCTAAAGTGAAAAGTGACAAAGTGACGTCGAAAGATAGTGTACATGGCGAAAACAGTGAAGATTCGTGCGGTGTAAGTTAGTTCCAATTATACTGCGGAATATTTACTATATATTTTGTTTAAATTTTCATTTTCAAAGGATGACACAGCCAGCGTCAGCACTAATAATACCTCTCGTAGCAAATCACCAACCACTCGGCGATCCCGTGGTCATAGGCGTAGCAACAAATCAAAAGCACGTAAACCTGCATATAAATATGAGTAGGCTGATTTGCGTCAAACTTGCAAACTGATGTGTTTACATTACGTAATTTAATTTTGTTGTAGTTATCATGTGAAGGAAAATCATGGACAGGCCATTTTCGGTATTAGTTTCAATCAGTGGTTGGGGAACGATCAGCCGCTCATATTCGCCACCGCAGGTAGCAATCGCTGTACCATTTATGAGTGTCCACGCCAAGGTGGTATAAAATTGCTCATGTGCTATGCGGACCCGGATGTAAGTTAATACATTTATCATTCGAAGTCTAACTACAAAGTAATCAATCTCCTTCAACTTCAGCCAGACGAGGTGTTCTACACATGTGCTTGGTCGTACGACATTAAAACATCGCTACCCTTGATAGCTACGGCTGGCTATCGTGGTGTGATTCGGGTTATTGATGTGCAAAAAAATGAAACTGTGGGCAACTACATCGGCCATGGGCAAGCCATTAACGAACTGAAATATCATCCGCGACAGCCGCATCTCTTATTATCTGGTAGTAAAGACCATGCAATACGCCTTTGGAATACACAGTCGCACGTGTGTATAGCAATTTTTGGTGGTGTGGAAGGTCACCGGGATGAAGTGCTTTCTATAGATTTTGATTATCGTGGCGAACGTATTATGTCCAGTGGTATGGATCACTCGTTAAAACTTTGGTGTATAAATACAGAAGATTTTAAAGAGAAAATTGAATTCTCGCGTACATTTAATCCAAACAAATCGCAGAGACCTTTTCCAACAATAATGCAGCACTTCCCAGACTTTTCTACACGAGATATACATCGAAACTATGTAGATTGTGTGCAATGGTTTGGAGATTTCGTACTATCTAAATCATGCGAGAATTCTATAATTTGCTGGAAGCCCGGACAGCTGCATCAAGGACTGTCGCAGCTCAAACCCAATGACCCATCATGTACCATTATCGCCGAATTTGACTATGATGAATGTGAAATATGGTTTGTTCGGTTTGGATTTAATCCGTGTCACAAAATAATTGCATTGGGAAATCAGCATGGTAAAGTGTACGTGTGGGAACTCGATCCTAGTGACCCTGGGCACACAAATACGAGTACGCTAAATAATTTAAAATGTAATTCTCCTGTGAGACAAGTGGCATTCTCACGTGATTCCAGTGTTCTCGTCTATGTGTGTGATGATGGAACAGTTTGGCGATGGAATAAAACCAATATTGTACAAAAAACGCCATAAATATCTCATTCTTTTCTTATTATTTAGTCACTGTAGAAGCAATTTAGTATGCAAACTAACCAAATCGAAAATGCCAAGTAATATATACCAAACTGAGAAAGAAGATATGTTAAAATTTTTTTGTTTTTTGGTAGTTTAATAGTATATAAGTCTATCATAACCCTATATATAGTTTGCTTTTATATTTTTAATAGATAAGGAGAAAAATGTTGTGCGTAAACGCCTACTAATTAAAACAAAACAGTTTATTTAACTGTTTAATGTCTTATATATGTATGTACTTATTAATCTCGTTAGATTTTAATAAAAATGCGATTCATTATTACCAAAAATGTTTAGCTTTCATTTATCTCAATTGAAATTTTAAACGTGTTTCATATAGAGGGATATATAAAACACACTAACGATTAAGCCAATGCTGTTCCCATACATTTTGCCATATCTCGTGATTTTCACGTAAGTTTATAATAGTTTTTCAGCTGTTTATGCAGCATCATCCTAACAGCTATTGGCGTCGCATATTTTCTTTAGTGTGAGTGATGAATAAACGAATATTAAGGCTAAGGTATGGAGAATGTCACAAAGCATAAATGAAAAGCTTTTAGTAAAAATGGGGAAAATTGCATTTTTAGCACTTTAATGCAATATATAACACAGTTAAGCTTTACTTACTCGAAAACAATGTTCCAATTAGCCGCTTAAAGGCACAGGCATCATTATGCACTTACGTCTACACGAGTACAAAAATATATATCTCCCCATTACTTTAAGTGTACAATTTACGAGCGACTGTCCTTTTACATTTTGTCGCAGTTATCCCAATTTCATTATCCTTGACACGTAAAGTCAATAAACACAATTTTTATGTCATTACTTGACTTCTGGCTTTTAATACTTTACTCCAAGCTTCATTGCCAATTTCCGACATTTGTTTTTTATTTTGTTCCGTTGGAAAGCGCCGTTATACACGCAAAGCGACTATTGGGAACGCAAAGCTTTTGCTACTGACCATATACATACATATGTACATATGTATATAGGTTAAGTCGTCTGCCGCGCTGTTCAGTATGCAGTGTGTAGTCTCATTTCTTAGACACATTTACTCGCTTAACTTCTAGGCAAATATAATAAAATGCATTCAAATAGTTTGCTCCCAAGACTGCAAGTTCGCATAGCAAACAGTTACAATTGTAAATCAATATTTTTTGCCATAAACAATTACTAAATAGTTAAATTGTGTTGGAGTAAAAAAAAATTTTTTTAAATATATAATTTTTTATAAAAAATTAATTATTCACCCTCATTTATTTATATTATATATTAAGTCCTTTGAAAAACCATTCCAGCAGGTTCTGTCCAGCATATTCTGTACCAATACAACTCTGCTATTTGACAATGTGTGTTATTGTTTAATTTTGCCTGCAATACAGTTACAATATATTCGAATATACTTCAAGATGCAAGCGTATTTCTCTGATATTTAACCCTTTCATGGGTATGTAAATAAGAAAATATATATGTATAAGTCTGTGTGTGTGTATTTTTAGTGGCTGCTCTTCAGCCTCTCGTAGTCAAGGGTCCAGTGACGCGTCAAGTGTTATTGTCTTTAAGAGTAAACAGCAAACACAACGACAACAACAACAACAGCAT